GAGTTCGAGACCAGTCTGGCCAATATGGTGAAACCCAGTCTCTACTAAATACACGAAAATGAGCTAGGCATGGTGGTAGCTGCCTGTAATCGCAGCTACACAGGAGGCTGAGGCAGGAGAATCACTTGAACCCAGGAGGTGGAGGTTGCAGTGAGCCGAGATCTTGCCACTGCATTCCAGCCTGGGCGACAGAGCAAGATTCTCCCCCCAGAAAAATAAAAATAAAATAAAATTGGATAAATCAAAAAAGTCATATGGTAGCGAGGCTATGTGAAAGTAAAGAAGGTGGTCGTCATGGAGAAATGTTCAACCAGATTTTAAATCTTAATTTGAACAAGAAAATTCCTACTGGAAAAAAGCCGTGTAAAAACAGTGTATGTAGAAACATCTTCACCTGCCATTCTTCCCTTCGTAGGCACATCGTACCTAATTCTGGACACAAATCATGACTGTGAAGAAGGTGGAGAGGAGACATATACATGTAAACAATGTGGAAAAGCCTTCATTTCTCACCAGTGTTCAAGAACACATGAGAACACACACTGAAAGTTCACATTATAAACGTTCAGTATGTGGAAAGCCTTTGATTTTCCCAACTTGTTGCACATCCATTAGAGAACTCACACTGAAGAGAACTCCTATAAATGCAATCAATGTGGGAAGCCTTCAGTTCTTCCAGGTCCTGTCAAATATGTGAAAGAATTCACACTGGCAAAAGACCCTATAAATATAGGGAATGTAGGAGAAGGTCCACTTTTCCTTTCTCTCTTAAATATACAAAAGTATTCACACTGGAGAAAAATTCTATAAGTGCAAGAAATGTGGTAAGGCCTTCAGATATTTCCGTTCCCATTATCACCATGAAAGATCTCATACTGTAGCAAAACCCTATCAGTATAAGGAATGTGTTAAGGCTTTGCTTATTCCAGCGACCCTCATAATCATAATTAAACTCATACTAGGGAGAAACTCTATGAATGGAATCAATGTGGCAAAGCCTTCAGATATTACAGTTCCCTCCATAACCATCAAAGAATGCACACTGGTGTGAAACCATACAAATATAAGAAATGTGGTAAAGGCTTCACTCATTCCAGTCACCTGTATAATCATGAAACAACTCACACTAGAGAGAAACTCTATGAATGTAGGGAATATAGGAAAGCATTTGCCTTTCGATGTTCTCCTAGAAGACATTAAAGTATTCACACTGGAGGAAAACCCAGTGTAGGTAAGAAATGTGGTAAAGTATTCACTCTTCCTTGTTCCCTTTAACTACATGAAAGAACTCATATTGGCTGGTCATGGTGGCTCACACCTGTAATCCCAGCACTTTGTGGGGGCCAAGGTGGGTGGATCGCCTGAGGTCAGGCGTTCAAGACCAGCCTGGCCAACATGGCAAAACCCCATCACTACTGAAAAATACAAAAATTAGCCAGGTGTGGTGGCATGCACCTGTAGTCCCAGTCACTCAGGAGGCTGAAGCAAGAGGATCGCTTGAATCTTGGAGGCAGCGGTTGCATTGAGTCAAGATCACACCATTGCATTCCAGCCCGGGTGACAGAGCGAGACTCCGTCTCAAGGGGGAGAGGGGAAGGGGGGAAAAACTCATGCTGTCAAGAAACCTTATAAAAGAAATGTCATCAAGCTCTCATCCTTAGATGTTTAGTTCCAGGAATCAACCAACACTCATAAAGCCTTTTCTCAGTTGAGTTTCTGTCACTTATAACTGAAAGAATTCTGGCAATGGAGTATAACACAACTATCAAAAGAATGGAGGATAACACAGCTATCAAAAGAATCAGGTAGATTTGTATGTACAGACATAATTTTCTGCAATATATTAAAGAAAAATAACAATAGCAACTTTCAGAGCGTTATTATATTATGCCTTTTTTGATTTTTTTGAAAGATGCATTTTTGTATTAATACTGAGAACTGGAAAAAGAGAATGTTCACTTCAACATATACAACTTTAAAACATATATGTAGATTTTTTAAATCACAGAATTAAACAAAATGTTATAAAATTAAATGCTATGGATAGAATTTGCATCAAAGCCCAATCATCAAAATTTATTTCAACTTCATTTCCATAGAAGCCTGTGGAATGTATTTCCTAGAAAGGAATAAGAATAACAAAAACAGCCAACTGAATTACATGAGTACATGAGTGATACAGTTCTTACGAGCTCATCCGTGTTTTATATATAACTTTCTTCACTCTGCCTCTGAAAAGCAAAATCCAGAAAATGGTTATTTCACCATCCTTCTATTAATTCCAGAAAAGTGGAATATATACACGTGAGACTAAAGGATCTCTGGGCAGTTTTTAAGAAACTGAGGAAGGGAGATACTTCTAAAGAAGCTAAAATAAAATGTTCAAATCAAGGTATAGAATTTTGCCACCTGCCATAAATTCAAGTTCACAATAAAGGCGGACCATAAAGACAGGATACACAGTTCATCAACACAGAAGGCTATCCTTTTCCCACATCAGTATTTTCATCTCAAATAACAATGCCATACCCCTCCAGGGCACTCCCTAGATTCCCTATACTTTCTCGTTTGAGATGTTTAAGGTTCCATGATTAAGGCAACATGTACCTCATATAACTTAAAGAAGAACAAAGTAGGCCTACTTATTATAATGAATCATGAATAAAAATTAATATAAGCTTAGATTTAAACTAAAATAGAAATGAAATCTGAAAAATTTCATGTTATAAAAAGGAACAAGGAAGCTATTCGCATTACTGATCTATCTTTAAAATCTAAACAAAGATAAAGCAGAAATTCAATTGAAAAACCAATGTGATTTGGGAGGCTGAGGTGGGTGGATCACTTGAGGTCAGGAGTTCGAGACCAATCTGGCCAACATGATGAAACCCCATCTCTACTAAAAAATACAACAACAACAAAAGGGGGTTCAATGGCTCACGCCTGTAATCCCAGCACTTTGGGAGGTCAAGATAGGTGGATCACCTGAGGTCAGGAGATCAAGAGCAGCCTGACCACATGGTGAAACCCTGTCTCTACTAAAAATACAAAAATTAACCTGGCATGGTGTTGGGTGCCTGTAATCCCAGCTACTTGGGAGGCTGAGGCAGGAGAATCGTTTGTACACAGGAGGCAGAGGTTGCAATGAGCTGAGATCATGACACTGCACTCCAGTGTGGGTGACAAAGCAAGACTCCATCTCAGAAACAAAATAGGCCAGGCACGGTGGTTCACACCTGTAATCCCAGCACTTTGGCAGGCTGAGGTCGGGAGTTCAAGACCAGCCTGGCCAATATGGTGAAACCCCATTTCTACTAAAAGTACAAAGATTAGCTGGGTGTGGTGGCAGACACCTGTAATCCCAGCTAGGTGGCTGAGGCAGGAGAATCACTTGAACCCAGGAGGTGGGGGTTGCAGTGCGCCGAGACCACACCATTGCACTCCAGCCTGGGAGACAAGAGTGAAACTGCATCTAAAAAAATAATAATAATAAAATAAAATTAGCTGAGCATGGTGGTAGGCACCTGTAATCCCAGCTACTGAGGAGGCTGAGGCAGGAGAATTGCTTGAGCTCAGGAGATGGAGGTTGCAATAAGCCAAGATAGCACCACTGCACTCCACCCTGGGTGGCAGAGCAAGGCTCTGTCTCAAAAAAAAAAGGTAATTTTTTGTTTAAGTTGAATAAATGGCTTTTATCTTAAGGTGTCACATCTAGAGGCAAAAATTTTTAAAAAGAATACAAGACTTTAATATCAACATTTGGCTGAAACTGATGCAGAAATGAACGCTACTTTTTAAACCTCTGCAACAAGATTTTTTAAATGTAAAAATACTTTTCAATGATGAAACAATAAGTCTAACATAAAGCCTACGTTTAAGTAGCATTGAAAAAAAGAAGGATTATTTTTTACTCCAATTGAAGAAACAAACATAACCACACTTAATGGGGATAATGTAATACTCTTTCTAGCTTGAAAACAGATACCAACATACTGTGTGTTCTTCAATGGATCACATGTGCTACACCAACATGACGGCCCATAGTGGGTTTGAAAAGATATAACAGGATTCGATTTTGTTATTTCATCACTAAAATTTTAATCATTAGGCATATTAATGTCACATGCAGTTTCTAAAATAGAAATATTTTTAGAAGCTGTGTTTGACAACATGATAACAAGAACACACATCTGATATAGGTTTGTTTTTAAGCTATTGATTATGAACCTCTTGATTTCAAACATCTCATGTGTCAGAAATATAATCAGAATACTGTAACAGTAAGAGAGAAATACTTTTTTTTGAGACAGGTTCTCGCTCTGTCACCCAAACTGGAATGTGGTGGTGCAATCACAGCTCACTGCAGCCTCAACCTCCTGAGTAGCTGGAACTACATGCATGCACCACCACACCTGGCTAATTTTTTTAAAATTTATTTTTAGTAGAGATGGGGTCTCGCTATGTTGCCCAGGATAGTCTCAAATGCCTGGGCTCAAGTGACCCTCCTGCCTCACCCCTGCAAAATGCTGGGGTTACAAGTATGAGCCACTGCCCAGCTGAAAGATACCTTCTTTTAATCACTCACAATCAGCAATAGTGAAAATGCTCTATGTAAAACATCAGCTCTGAATAACACATTTCATTTCTGTTTCTAACCACCTGACTATCACTGTTCTGATGACTGCATAGCTCAACAGAAAAATGCATCCCATTGAGACTCAATAATAACTATGATTAGGCAGATAACTTCCCAATCATAAGAGCTTTTATTTTAAGACAAAAACAGCATGCAAATCAAACACTATAACTGGGATGAAAAGACACAGCTCTAAGAAGGCTATGCATGAGATGCCTATTGCATGTTTATACGCTAGTCTTGCATTCTCTTCCTTTCTTCCGCTTCTTTGAAATGCTAAAGGGTTATTACACTAAAAAGGGTAACTACCCTTAATATGAGAGAACTATGTGTTTAAGAACGCAAGACTTTCAGATAAGAAATCTCCAAATATTTTCTATGTGTTTATGATCTTTCTTATAAAGAGGGAGTGTTTTATGTGCAACACCTGCAAATGGAAATAAATCTACCTTTCACTCAAGCCCAAATCATCAAATATAAAATACAGACATAAAGCAAACTACAATGGCAGCAGTGATTCTTAGGGCAGCACGTGCAAAATCGAGTATTTTGCTATCTACTTACATTATGGTGGTCAGAAAAGAAATGTTCCAAAACTACCTTTCCCGTTCCACTTGAACTGGTTCCCCACAATCCCAACAAACATCTCCTGTGACATTAAGTTGTCATCAGCCTGTGTGATCCCCAGTTCACTCAACCTTTTCTTCTTCATCTGGCCTTTTTGTGTGGAGGCAGCAATTAGTTCATTTACAATTTCACAATTTCCCTCAACTTGCTCAGAAGGGTCAGTTCTTGCATAAAGCTCCATTTTACCAGTTGCACACTGAATCAGTTCTTCTAGATCCACTCTTTCAGCCACATCTGGCTCTCCACTTGTCTGAATTTTAAGTGCTTTATCTTCTGAAGAAACAAACGAATAATAACATAGTTAAATACATAAGCTAACCCAACTAAAACATGTATTTCTATACAGTCTGTTAGAGCTTTCAAGTTATTCTGGCAAAGGATTTCTGTTGTCCTCTAACTGGGTTTTACAAATTCTTTGCCATAAGAATCTCAATGAACAGCTGCCTTGCTCTCTATGTCAAGGTTCCCTGACCCTCATGCAGGATCATCAATTTTGAACTCTTTGTTTACCCTTTTTGTCCCAGAATCACTTTTACTTAACAGACATTTCCTGGATATTTACTATCTGCTAAGCACTGTGTTAGGAGCTAGGATGCACACACTGATAAGACAGTGCAACTTTTCTAAATGAAGTCCCAATCTAGTAGCTAATTCCAGATAGGCCCCATGATCACCACCCCCTGGTATTAACTTAATAGGCTATTAAATTACAGAAGAATTTTGCACTGTAATTTTACAATGTAATTAAGGTTGCTAATTAGTTTTCCCCAGCTGGTTGCAAAAGAGGAAGTCAGAGAAATTCAAAGCATGAGAGATTTGCCTTGAGGGAGGTTCTCTGTTGCTGAGATGGGGGGCTATGTGGCAAGAACATGAGAGCAGCCTCTAGGAGCTGAGTGCCAGCGACAGCCGACAGCCGACAGCCGACAGCCGACAGCCGACAGCCGACAGCCGACAGCCGACAGCCGACAGCCGACAGCCGACAGCCAGCAAGAAAGGAGACCTCAGACCCAGGAACTAAAGGAATGAATTCTGCCAATGAATGACATGAATGCATTTGGAGGCAGATTCTGCACCCAGAGCTTTCAGATGAGACCTGCCCAGCTGACACCTTGATTTCACTTCTGTGAGACCTGTGAAGAAATAGAGAACTTGCAGAGATATAACTGGAGCGAATCCTGAAGGATGACAAGGACTAACTTTTAAAGTCCTCTTTCAACCTGAAAAAGCCAATTAAATAAATACTGCTTTCAACTTTCCTCACCTACGTCAACGCTTAATCCTCCTCTATGACTGAGACTTAACAGTGATCTGCCTCATAGCTTGAAGTTCACACATTTCCACTGAGTTAGCACCCCTTTGCTGCCAAGAAAGGCAGGTGACAGGAAGATATTTACTTCTACCAATAAAAACAGAGGTAAACTCCACCATCCTCTCCAGGAAACGCAGCTTTCAACCTGGCATGTTCATTTCATTGCCTCCAGACTTAACAAATGCCAGCAGGAGCCACTATAACTATCACACACCCACTGTTGCTGTCACACAGCCACCATAGCATCACGCACCCATGGTTGCTATCACACACCCACAGTTCCTATCACACATCCACCCTCATTGAAAGCTAAGCATGATAAGAAGGAAACTGCACGGAAGATACATCGAGATTCTGAATGACAATTGAACTAGTTGACCTTGAAAGTTTCTTTCACATTCTATAATGTTATGGCTTTATTAAGCTTCATTCTCTCTCCACTCCCAAGCATATCCCAATAATCTTTTTTGAGGAAGAGAGGAAGACTCAGAGACTTAATCAGCATTTAATGCTGAAATAAAGTAAATTATGTTTTTATATTAAAAATTACTATCAGTGCAGTGGTAAAGGAGTTAAAAAAAAAAAGAAATAAAGAAATAGAAATTACTAAATATAGCATACCTTCTGTTCCATCTTCAGCATTTTCTTGCAGGTCAGAGAAGATTGTAGGTTTCACCAAGACAACACCATAACCTTCATTATTATGTATTATATTATTCACCACTGGATATTTTGGGAATGTCATAATGTTCATCTAAGAAGTCCTGTGACGTTGAAAACAAATGTTTTAGGAAACTGTCATATTCAACATTTCCTGCTTTAAAAATCTTTATTCACACTACTCTAAAAATATAGCTATATTTAGTCCCATGTTGTAGCAGTCTGAGTCCTTAATGACGGAGCTTTCCTGTCACTTCTGCAGATCTATAGGTAATAAAGCATTCTCACAAGAGATTCCAATCACTGACATATTGTTGAAATGTATATACTGTTTATGCTTTTCAAAACCAGAAAATAGAACCCAATAATTTAATAAAGTATAATTTGTAGGTGAAGCCATTCTATCCTTTGAAAAGCGGGTGTTTTAGCTGATGCTCACCTTAATGAGGATCCCTTCCTTGCAGTGATGGATCCCATTGTCACTCAGGGTGCACTGACTCCCGGGGTAGATTTCTATACCAGCACCCTGTGAGTTACAGTTTGAGATAATGCCAATCAGTTTTTAAAACGCAAGACTAAAAAAGTTTATTGCAATTACTTCTTAGCCTTCAACACAGTCCAAACATACAGCAAAAAGATAAAGTATTTTACAGATAAGTTTTATCAAGCATTTTTAATCAACATTTCCATTTATTCCATCTCTAGCAAGTTGTTAACAATTTATCACTTTCAAAACCACACACACACACACACACACACAAACAGAGGCTGTGTCAACACCTGATTCTTGTTCTACTCTCCTTTATTCTAGATGTTTTCTGATTTTGCCAAAAAAAAAAAAAATCATTTAAGAATTCTGTTGAAAGACGTACTTATTCAAAATGACCATCTCTTAGATACTCAATTAGTTGGAGAAAAGTACTTGAATTTAGTAAAATATTGTCATTTGTGGATAGAAACAAGACCCTACATTTTCCAAATGTGCCAGTTTTAAAATACCCAAACCCAACTTAAAAATCACTTGTATGAGTTAAACCATGGCCTCCCCTACCACACACATTAACATAAGCAGCCAGTTCACATGTCATTTAAACAGCATAACCAGAAAGATCAAACATGACCCTATTCTCTCACACCTCAAGGAATCAAAAAACCTAACAGTAATAAGAATTTATTTCCTAATGCTTGTGCAAGGAACTTTGGAAAACAAAAGTAATTCACTCAAACCTCTATAGTTATTTCAGCAACCATTTGGGAATAATTTAACACACAACAGCATCAATGAAGAAGAGCTGCTGTAACCACTGATGACCCATCTACTGCATGTATGTTCAGTTACTTTCCTAGTACTAGTATTCCATGAGAAAACATTTATTATTGCTTAACCCTGTACATACACTTGAACCATATGTACACACCAATCTAACTCTTCTGTAGAGGTTTTCGTTTTTAATGAAATGAAAAAAATTAAGTGTACATATATTTGGCACTGTTCATGGTCTATGCGTGTCATGGAGTTAATTTTTACAAATTGTATGGTAAACAAAAAATCTTTTTTTTTTAATTGTATTTCGTCTCGGGGGTACATGTGCACATCCTGCACCCTGCAGGATTGTGACATAGGTACATACATGCCATGGTGGTTTGCTGTCTCCATCCGTTGCCTACATCAGGAAATTCTCCAGCTGTTATCCCTCCCCCTCCTCTCCGCCCCCGCATCGGCATTTTTCAAAATGTGCTAATTGGGCCCTCTTCTAAGATATTTTCACTTGCAGTTGTGTGCAAAGAAGATTTAGGGGTGATTACATTAAAAATATCTATAGCAAGATAGTTAAAATTAAATATCAAACTATCAGAAAACAAAATTCGCAAAGGTGAACAATTTAAACCAGTAGTCAGATAGCAAATAAAAGTCATAATCCGCCAGGCACGGTGGCTCATGCCTATAATCCCAGCACTTTGGGAGGCCGAGGCAGGAGGATTGTTTGTGGTTAGGAGATCGAGACCAGCCTGGCCAACATAGTGAAACCCCATCTCTATGAAAAATACAAAAATTGGCCAGGCATGGTGGCACGCACCTGTAGTCCTAGGCACTCAGGAGGCTGAGGCAGGAGAATTGCTTGAACCCAGGAGGCAGAGGCTGCAGCGAGCTGAGATCGCACCACTGCACTCCAGCCTGGGCGACAGAATGAGACTCAGTCTCAAAAAAAGAAAGCCATATTCAAAATATGTTATGAAAATGAACAACAATTTGGCAATTAAAAAGTAACTGAGGAGGCTGCCATTTCTGGGATGATAGAGTAGATGTCCCTGCTTCGTCTATTAGGTATGACCAAAAACCATAGGCATTATATATAAAACAAGCATAAGACTGAAAAGTGGAGAGAAGACGTCAGACCAGCTAGGGACCTCAGGACCCAAAAAACACCAACACAGTGGTATGTTCCTTTCTTTTTGCTTCGTAATCCCTAGACTTGGAACTGAAGGAGTCAGCAGTCCAGTTCAGCAACAGACCCATACCAAAAAAAAGCTGCTCTTATGAAAGGACTAGGCAGCCTAGAAAGACAGAAAACTTTTAGACAATAATAGCTCTATTCCAGGTAAACACCACAGAATAAAACAGCAGCCCCAATCTCACCCATGCCAGCAAAGGTCAAGAGAAGAACCTAGACTTCCGCCCCCTCACGGATGTAACCAGGGAGCCCAGCACCTCGACTGGGGCAGTACCAGAGAAGACCAAGCAAGGAGCCAGGATTGTCATCCCCACCCACCAGTTGCAAGGCCCTCCCTGCAGCAGTGTCAGTGAAGACTATATGAGGAGCCTGGATTTGTACCCCCAACTGGCCATATCAAGACAACCACTCCCTCCCTACTGGGGCAGTGTCAGAGCAGGCCTAGTGGAGATTCTACAATTTCACCATTGCCCAGTGGTAACAACACCACTCCCATACATCACAGTGTCAGTGGAGACCATGTAGGAAGCTAGGCCTCCCACCCTGACGTAGCAGTAACAAGGAGCTCCCCCACCTAATAAGGGTATCGATGGAAGCCAAGTGACAACCATCACTTCTACCTCCACCAGTAACAAGATGATGCCCATCTACCACCAACCCTGTCCCTTCTTGTAGAAGTGTCAGAGAAGCCAAATTAAAACAGAAGATTCACATTCTCTTAATACAAAAATATCTAACTTTGATTTGAAAATCCCTTGTCATATCAAGAATCAGGAAGATGTCAAAATAAATAAGATAATCAACAGATGCCAAAACCGAGATGTCAGAGATGACAGAATTAACGGACAGTGATTTTAAAGCAGCCATGATAAGAATGCTTCAATAAGCAATTATGAACATACTTAAATGAAAAATAAAAGCCTCACCAAAGAAATAGATGATATATAAAACCAAGTAGAAATATAGTTACTGTATTTTTCAGTTCTAAAAATAGAAAGCTCAGTGGATGGGCTCAACAGCAGAATGAAAACAACAGAGGAAACAATCAGGGAACTAACTAGAAGATAGAACAATAAAATTTACCCAATAGCAGAGAAAACATACTGAAAAAGAAAAGAGTACAGAGCTCCAGGGGTCTGCTGGACTATAACAAAAGATCCAATATTCATGTCATCAGAGTCCTGAAAGAGAAAAGAGAGGGTGTGCCTAAAAACATACTTGAAGAAATAATGACTGAAAGCTCCCCAATTTGGCAGGATTTGGATAACAAGCCTACAGGTTCAAGTAGCTGAGCAAACCCCAAACAAAATAAACTCAAAGAAATCCATGCCAAAATATATCATAATCAAACTCGTACAAGCTAAAAACAAAAATATTGAAAGCATCAATGAAAATTTCATGATTTACCTATGGGAAAGAAAATGTGGTTGACAGCATCAGAAAACATGGATGCCAGATGAAAGAGACACAGTATTGTTCAGGGGCTAAAAGAAAAGAACTGTCAATCCAGAATCCTAAGCCCAGTGAAAATAGTCTTCGGGAATATAGAAGAAATCAAGATATTCTAAGATGATGGGAAACTAAAAAAATTTGTCAGCAGCAGATCTATCTCATAGAGTGACTAAAGGAAGTTATCTAAATAAAGACGAAATGATAAAAGAGAGGCTCTCGGAGCATCGAAAAGGAAAAAAAAAACACAGTATGCAAAAATATGGGTAAATGCAATAAGCTTTTCTTCTCAAGTTTGCTAAATTACGTCTGACATTTGAAACAAATATAATATTGTCTAATGTGGTTCTAGATGTATGCAGGTAAAGAAAATATTTAAGACAATTATCAGAAGGAGATGGTGGTCCGAGCACGGTGGCTCACGCCTGTTAATTCCAGCACTTTGGTAGGCCGAGGCAGATGCATAACGAGGTCAGGAATTCAAGACTAGCCTGGCTAAGATGGTGAAACCTCATCTCTACTAAAAATACAAAACTTAGCTGGGCATGGTGGTGGGCGCCTGTAATCCCAGCTACTTGGGAAGCTGAGGAAGAGAATTGCTTGAACCTGGGAGGCAGAGGTTGCAGTAGCTGAGATCACACCACTGCACTCCAGCCTGCTTGACAGAGTGAGACTCCATCTCAAAAGAAAAAAAAATAGGAGAGAGAGATTATAGAGTCATAAAGGGAGGCAAGCTATCTACACTTCACCTGAACTGATGAATGATGACACCAGTAAACTGTGATATCATGTACATATAACGTAAAACCTAGAGTAACCACTAAAAAAGCTATACAAAGAGATTTTCAAAAACAAATAAAATTCTGAGAAATGTTCGGGTATCCACAGGATGGCAGTAAAAAGCCAATCTAAAAGTAAAAAACAGAACAAACAGAAAACATAAAATAGCAGACTAAAGACTTAACATTAATAATTAAGTGTAAGTGATCTAAATACAACTAAAAGACCAAGATCGCCAAAGTAGATTAAAAACATGACTCAACTACATGCTGTCTACAACTCACTTCAAACAGAAGAATACAGGCAAGTTGAAATTAGAACAATAAAAAATGATCTATCATGCAAACAATAATCAAAGGAAACCAGCTGTGGCTACATTAATATTAGATAAAGTAGACTTGAGGTCAAAGAAAATTACCAGAGGCAGACATAAAATCATTATAAACATGCTGGCTCACCAAAAAGATACAGCAATCCTACATGAGCATACATCAAATAACAGAAATGCAAAATATGTGAAGCAAAAACTAATAGTACTGAAAAGGCAAATAAACAAAATTAGCTGTAATTAAAGACTTCAACACCCCTCTCTCAACAATTGACAGAAGAAAAAAATCACAAAGAATACGAAAGAACTCAGTACCACCAACAAGCAATATGATCTAGTTGACATTTTATTGGATATACCACCCAACAACAGAATACACATTCTTTTCATTTGCTCACAGAACATGTACTTAAATAGACCATATCCTGGGACATAAAAGAAACCTCTAGAAATGTCAAAGAATTGAAATCATATAGTGTGTTTCTGACCACAATGAAATCAAACTAGAAATCAACAATAGAAAGATAATAGTAAAACTCCAAATATTTAAAAACTAAACACCACACTTCTAAATTCTGCATGGACTAAAGAATACAAATTAAATATACCAAAATTTACAGAACAGCTAGAGCCAATGTTGAGAGGGAAATTTATAGCATTAAATGCTTACATGAGAAAAAAATCTCAAATCAACAATCTAATATCCTAGGTGGGAAAACCAAGGTAAGTAAAATAAACCCAAAACAAGCAGAAGGAATGAAATCATAAAAAGAACATAAAAAAGTAAAAATAAAAATGAAAACTAAATTTTAAAAAAACAAGAACAAAAATAAAGGAAATTGAAAACAAAACAATTACAATAAGAAAAAAAACACAAAACAATGAAACAAAGAGTTGGTTCTTTAAATAGAGAAGACACAAACTACCAACATAAAACAGGTATCATTACTATAGACCCTGCAGATATCGGAAGAATAAAGAAGTACAACAAACAATTCTCTATATATAAATCTGACAACTTAGAAGTAGTCCAATACCACAAAAATCACAAACCACCAAAATGTACTTAATATGAAATAGTTTGAATACCCTTTTAACTATTAAAGAAATTGAACTCATAATTTAAAAAATTCCAAAAGAGAAATCTCCAGGCCCAGATGATTTCATTGGCAAAATCCATCAAACATCTAAAGAATGAACAGCAATTCTACACAATCTCTTCCACAAAATAGAAGAGAAGGGAACACTTCAGTATTGATTTTATGAAGTTACTATTATCGATAATAAAACCAGATAAAAACAGCAGTACAGAAAACCAAAACTAGAGACCAATATTCATGAATACAGATGCAAAATTTTCTCCTGAAAGATTAGCAAATATAATTCAGCAATATATAAAAAGATTTCTACACTGTGACCAAGTAGGATTTATGCCACATAGGCAAGGCTGGTTCAAAATTTGAAAATGAACCAATGTAACTCACCATTTTCTTTTTTCCAGTAAGAATAATCATGTGATCATATCAATCTATCCAGAAAAAAAACATTAAAAGTCAGTATATTCCTGAAAAAGGAACTCAGAAAAAAAGAAGTCAACATCCACTTATGATAAAAATTCTCAAAAAAAAAAAAAAAAAAACAGAGAAATAGAGCGGAAATTCTTCAACTTGATAAAGAATATCTAAAAACCTGGTCAACCTTATTCTTTTTAATGGAATACTAAATATATTCTCTCTAATATCAAAAATAAGGTAAGAAAGTCTGCTTTCATAGTGCTGGAAAGTCTAGCCAGTGCAATAAGGCAAAGAGGGAAACAAAGGCATAAAGATTGGGGAAAAAAAACCTCCCCTTATTTGCAGGTAACATTACTCTCTCTATATAGAAAATCCTAAGGAAGCTACAAAAACATTCCTATAAGTACAGTTCAACAAAGTCACAGGGTATAGGATAAACATATAAAAATCAATTATATTTCTACATACTAGGGACACTGAAGGGACACTGAAATTAAAAATATCACTTAGCCAGGTGTGGTGGCTCAGGCCTGTAATCCCAGCAATTCGGTAGGCCAAGGCGGTCAGGCCAAAAGGTCAGGAGTTCACGACCAGCTTGGCCAACATGGTAAAACCCTGTCTCTACTAAAAATACAAAAATTAGCTGGGCGTGGTGGTACATGACCATAATCCCAGCTACCCAGGAGGCTGATGCAGGAGAATCACTTGAACCCGGGAGGCAGAGGTTGCAGTGAGCAGAGATCACGCCACTGCACTCCAGCCTGAGCAACAGAGCAAGATTCCATCTCAAAAATATATATATATCACTTACAGTCACTCAAAAAAGTGAAATAATTAGGTACAAATCTAACAAAACACATACAGCATTTGTATGCTGAAGACTACACAATGCTGATGAAAGAAAACAAAGATGTGGCTGGGTGCGGTGCCTCATGCTTACAATGCCAGCACTCTGGGAGTCTGAAGCAGGAGGATTTTGAGTTGGAGAACAGCCTGGGCAACATGGCAAGACCCCATCTCTACAAAAAATAGATTAAGAAAAATTAGCTTGGTGTAGTGGTATGCACCTCTGGTCCCAGCTACTTGAGAGGCTGAGGTGAGAAGATAGCTTGAGTCCAGGAGACTGAAGCTATGCCATGAGCCATGTTCATGCCACTGCACTCCAGCCTGGGTGACAGAACAAGATTCTATCTCAAAAAAAAAAAAAAAGAAGACATCAGAGATTTTAAATAGATCGCGTTAAAAGACCGGAAGGTGTTAATCCTTCTCAAATTGACATATGCGTTTATTAAAATTCCTATCAAAATCTCAGCATGATCTTTTGTGGATATAGACAAAATTATTCTAACATTTGAATTGAAAAGCGAAAGAACTAGAGTGGCCAAAACAAATTTGGAAAAAACAAAGTAGGACAAATCACTCTACCAGATTTTAAGACTTAATGTACAGCTACAGGTATTCGCGGAGGGATAGCTACACAGATGAGTGAAACAAAATAGGAAAAGAAATGAACTATCACCTAAACCTCACACTTTATACCGAAATTAACTACAAAATGGATCACAACCTTATGTAAAATATAAAGCTATCAAAACTTTAGAAAAAAATAGGATAAAATCAGGATCTGTGGCTAGGCAAAGCGATCTTATCAGCAAAAGCTCAACTCATAAAAGGAAAAACTGATATACTGGACTTCATCAAAATAAAATACTCTGCTCCATAAAAGCCATATGAAGAAGGTGAAAACACAAGCCACAGACTGGCAAAAAATATCTGCAAACCACATACCTGACAATGGACTAGTATCTAGAATATACAGAGAACTCTCAAATCTCTACAGTAAAGAAGAACAAACAATCCAATCAGAAAATGGGGCAAAAGTCATTGATATTTCACTAAAGAGGACATAAGAGTGAGAAATAAGCATATGAGAAAATCCTTGACGTTATTAACAACTGAGGAAATGACAATTAAAACAACAAGAGATATTACTACACACTTATCAGAATGGCTAAAACAAAAAATAGTCAAAACATCAAACGCTCTTGAAGATAAAGAGAAACCGAACCTCCCAAACGTTGCTAGTGGGAATGTAAATGGTACAACTACCCTGAAAAACATTTTAGCAGTTTCTTTAAAAAAAAAAAAAACTAAACATGCAACTACTACATGACCTACAGCTGCATCCCTGGGCATTTACTCCTTAAAAAATAAAAACTGACATATCCAAGACTGAGTAATCTATAAAGAAAAAATTAATTAATTTTAAAAAATTAAAACTGTCAGCTGGGTGCAGTGGCTCGTGCCTGTAATCCCAGCCCATTAGGAGGCGGAGGCAGGTGGATTGTCTGAGCTCAGGAGTTCAAGACCAGCCTGGGCAACATAGTAAAACCTCATCTCTACTAAAATACAAAAAATAAAAAATAAAAAATAAGCCAAGTGTGGCAGCGTGTGCCTGTAGTTCCAGCTCCTCGAAAGGCTGAGGTAAGAAAACTGCAAGAACCCAGGAGGTGGAGGTTTCAGTGAGCCCAGATCACACCATTGCACTCCAGCCTGGGCAACAGAGTGAGACTCCATCTCAAAAAAATAAATAAATGTTAAAAAGAATTTTTTTAAATAAAAACTGTGTTCACACAAAAACCTATACCCAAATGTTTATAGCAGCTTTACTGACAATAGGCAAAAACTGGAAACAATCTAGACATCCTTCTACAAGTGACTAAACAAACTGAGGAACGGTCCACACATTGGACCATTCCTCAACAGTAAAAAGGAGCAAGCTACTGGTACCTACAACGACCTAAGTGAAGCGCCAGAGAACCACATTAAGTGAGAAAAGCCAGTCCCAAAGAGTGTGTGATGCCATTTTTACACTTTCTGAAATGATGAAATAAATAGAACTAAAAAACAGCGCTGGGCATAGTGACTCACACCTGTAATCCCAGCACTTTGGAAGGCCAAGGTGGGCGGATCATGAGGTCAGTAGATGGAGACCATCCTGGCAATGGTGAAACCCCATCTCTACTAAATACAAAAAATTAGCCGGGCACGGTGGTGTGTGCCTGTCGTCCCAGCCACTCAGGAGGCTGAGGCAGGGGAATCGCTTGAATCCGGGAGACGGAGGTTGCAGTGAGCCAAGATCGAGCCACTGCACTCTAGTCTGGCAAAGGAGCAAGACTTCGCCTCAAAAAAAAAAGAAAAAGAAAAAGAAAAACAGCTTAAGGTGTGCCTGCAGTTAAGGAAGAGGTTGGTGGGAGAGAGGCAGGTGAGTTTGGCAGCATGAAGCGTTCCTTTGATGATGGAAATATTCTTCCACTTGACTGGACTGATGTCAGTATTCTGGTTGTCATGTTGCATGACAGTTTCACAAGATGTTACTGTTAGGGGACACTGGTGAAGGGCATCATGCAGGACCTCTCCCTGCTATTTCTTACAACACTGTGTGAATCTACAATTATAAAGTTATGATTTTAATGGTCTAACCCTCTCTTAAAGCTAAATAAAGTAATTGTGAGATTTATTACTTCTCTTCCTATGATCTGAAAATGCTACATGAGAAGACCCTTGCATAATTGAGTTTGACTGACTTGGTAGAGATGACTGGAGAGTAGGAGTACGCACATATATCTTGGTCCCATATTTCATATATTCATTTACAACTTAAACCCAAACTACTTCCCTAAGAGGACAAGTGTTTCTACCTTGGCACCATATAAATCCGAGTTCTTCATCAGAAACTCTGCTGATGTCCGCACTGTGACTCCGGTCGTCTCACACTGCAGCACACAGTTTTCCAGCGTAGTCTTACCGCGGTGAACGGCTGTGACGAAAACACACGCTGACTGCTTTAAGAAGTAATGTGCCTTTTCCAGTATGAGAGATAGCCTGGTGCTGACATTAGATGTGGACCCTATTTCTCAAAAGCTACCATTTAAATTTTCTTACCTAAATTACAAATTCATAAAATATAAAATGATGACGATTTTGAGTTATTTTCTACAATCTGAAAGCAACATTCTTTAAAAAGAATGACTTGACCTCAGATACAAAAGCACTTTTCATTACTAGAAAAAAAAAAGTATCAGAGAGCAATTTTGCTGAGTATCTCAGAAGAAAAAGACCTTGAATCAAGAAAGGGGCTACAAAGATTCCAGTAAACAAACACTACTGCCGTGTGGAGATAACTTCAATCTAGTGCTACCCTGAATACAGAGAACACAGACCACAACACTGGAAAGTTTTCAAAGAAAAAATCACTGTACAGAAAAGAAACTAACATTAACAAATTATCATGAATAGGTTATTTTTCACTTTAGGATTAAGTTTGCTAAGTCATCACACTGTACCTAAAAAAATAATTTTTTAGGCCATGCATGGTGGCTCACACCTGTAATCCCAGCACTTTGGGAGGCTGAGGCGGGCAGATCACCCAAGATCAGAAGTTCGAGACCAAACTTGCCAATGTGGTAAAACCCTGCCTCTACTAAAAATACAGAAATTAGCCACAAGTGATGGCAGGAGCCTGTGATCCCAGCTAGTGGGGAGGCTGAGGCAGGAGAATCGCTTGAACCAGGGAGGCAGAGGTTGCAGTGAGCTGAGATCGCACCACTGTCCTCCAACCTGGGCAACAGACCAAGACTCGTCTCAAAAAATTAATAATTTGTGTTTACACAGATCAGCATGTGCATTTATACTAATGAATAGCATGTTTCTAACGTGTCTATTAAGTGTACAAAAAGTATTATGTTTTTTTAAACGTGCACATCTTAATTTAAAATACTTTATTTTGCTAAAACATGCTAATACTCCTCTAAGCCTTCAGCAAGACATCATCCTTTTGCTGGTGGAGGGTCTTGTCACAATGTTGATGGCTGCTGACTGATCAGAACGGTGTTTGCCGAAGGTTAGGTGGCTGTGACCATTTTTCAAAGTAAGACAACAATGAAGTTTGCCACATTGACTCTTCCTTTCATAAAAAGCCGTCTTTGTAGCATGTGATCATGTTTGATAGCACTTTACCCGCAGTAGAAAGTTGTTCAAAATTGGAGTCAATCCTGTCAAAGTCTGTCTCTGCTTTACCAAGTTTACATAATATTCTAAATCCTTTGTTGTCATTCCACCATGTTCACAGCATCCTCCCCAGGAGAGTCCATCTCAAGAAACCACCTTCTTCGCTCATCCTTAAGAAGCAACTCCTCATCTGTTCCAATTTTTGTAAGATCGTAGCAATTCACTCATGTCTTGAGGCTCTACTTGCTATCATCAGGCTCTTGTTATTTCCACCGCATCTGCAGTTACTTCCTCTATTCAAGTCTTGAACCCCTCAATCATCCATGAGGGCCAGAATCAACTTCTCCAGAATTCCTGTTAATGTTGATATTTTGATCTCCTCCCATGAATCATAAATGTTCATAATGACATCTAGAATGATGAATCCCTCCCAGAAAGTTTTCAATTCACTTTGCCCAGACTCATCAGAGGAATCACTATCAATAGTTGCTATAGCCTTATGAATTATATTTCTTATGTACTAAGGTTTGAAAGTCAAAATTACTCCTTGATCCATGGGCTGCAGAAGAGATGTTATTAGCAGGCATGAAAACAACATTAATCTCCTGATACACTCCATCACAGCTCTCAGATGGCCAGGTACATTGTCAATAAGCAATCATATTTTTAAAGGAATCTTTTCGTTTTCAGTAGCAAGTCTCAATATTGGGCCTAAAATATTCAGTAAACCATGTTATAAACAGATGTGCTACCAATCAGGCTTTGTTGTTCCATTTCTAAGGCACAGGCAGAGTAGATTATGATTCTTAAGGGCTCTAGGATTTTCCAAATGGTAAATGAGCGCTGGCTTCAACTTAAAGTCACCAGTTACATTCGCTCCTAACAAGAGAGTCAGTCTGTCCTTTGAAGTTGCGAAGCCAAGCACCGACTTCTCTCTTCCTATGAAAAGTAGTAGACGGCATCTTCTTCCAATAGAAGGTGATTTCATCTACACTGAAAATGTGCTGGTGTATCCACTTTCATCAATTACCTTAGCTAGATCTTCTGTAACTTACTGTAGCTTTTTCATCAGCACTTGCTGCTTCACCTTGTGCTTTTACATTATAGAGATGGCTTCTTTCCTTAAACCTCATGAACCAACCTCTACTAGCTTCAAACTCTTCCTCTACAGCTTCCTCACCTCTCTCAGCCTTCACAGAATTGAAGAAGTTAGGGTTCTGCTCTGGAATAGGCTTTGATTTAAAGAATGTGGTAACCGATTTGATCTTCTATCCAGGCTATGGAAACCTTCTCTATATCAGCAATAAGCCTGTTTCACTTTCTTATCATTCATATGTTCACTAGAGTGGTGCTTTTAATTTCCTCTATGAACTTTTCATTCACATTCTTAACTTGGCCAACTGACACAAGAGACTTAGGTTTCAGCCTATCTCAGTTTTCGATATGCCTTCCTAAGTTAAACATTTCTCGTTTTTTAATTTAATGTGAGAGACAGGTGACTCTTCCTTTTACGTGAACACATAGATGTCATTGTAGGTTTATTAGCCAGTCTAATTTCAATATTGCTGTGTCTCAAGGAATAGAGTGGTCCAAACAGGAGAGAGAGAGCGGAATGGCTGATTGGTGGAACAGTCAGAACCCACAAAATTATCAGTTAAATTCACCATCTTATATGGATGTAGCTCATGGCACCCCAAAACAATTACAGTAGTAACATCAAAGATCACTGGGCACAGATCAGCGTATCATCTATAATTTTTTTAAAAGGCTTACAGTACTGTGAGAGTTACCAAAATGTGACACAGAGACACAAGGTGAGCACATGCTATCAGGAAAATGGTCCCAACAGACCGGCTGGAAACAGGGTTGCCACAACCTTCAATTTGTATAAAACTCAGTATCTGTGAAGTGCAACAAAACAAGGTATATTTGTACTTGAGTGGCATTTCATTAAATTCTGTCTTCCATAGATAGTACAGTTTTCCTTCAAAGCTTAGAAGAAACAATACATCAAACATTCAGATACTTACTTAAGATTCCCTCTACAGCATTGTGCTGAACAAATTTTATGCCTGAGATTTTAATATCAGCACCCGTGCAGTCCACAAAAGTGTCACCTTTGCCCCTCTTTTCTATCACAATGTCATCTGGTAGACCATATCCTAAGAAAGAGAGAACAAGAACACTCAAGATGGGTGAGGAAAAACATCTAAATAAGAACACTCTAGAACAGGTTTCTCTAGTTCAAATGACTGCAGATGATGAGACCAGTCAACTATGTTGTATTTAAATAAAATCTCTCTCTACATATTCTGTTTGATTTAAACCATGGTATCCAATTTTAACAATCACCCTCTCTGACTAGTCCCCATATCAAGATGACTACCCTATCAACTATCTCACATCAGCTCAACACTAAATTCGCTTAGAAAACTGCTATAAAAAATAATGTTTAAGACCACCCTAGGCAACACAGTGAGACTCCATCTCTACAAAACTAAAAAAAAAAATTAGTCAGGCATGGTTACATGCACCAATTACTCACTACTCAAGGAAGCTAAAGTGGGAGGGTCACTTGATCCCAAAATGTTAAGGCTGCAGTAAGCTATGATCACACCATTACACTCCAGCCTTTACTCTGGTTGACAGAATGAGACTTGGTCTCAAATGAATGAATGAATGAATGGACTTACAGCTGAGTCAAAGGACTTTAAAGCATTCACCCTTAGAAGTTTGCTTCTAACATTCTATGATTCTAACATAGAAAATGTAATTTTATTCAAATTACATTTGAATAAACCTAAGCAGTTCTCAAGATGATCTAATTTTAATATTCTCTTAAACAGTTGGCTTAAAATCTGACAAACTGACTACTTACTAGAAAAAAACAGTCTACCTCATTAACAAATAAAAAGCATCAGATAGAGGCTGGGCATGGTGGCTCATACCTGTAATCCCAGCACTTTGGGAAGCCAATGCAAGTGGATCACTTGAGGTCAGGAGTTCGAGAGCACCCTAAGCAACATGGTGAAACCCCGCCTCTACTAAAAATACACAAATTAGCTGGGCATGGTGGTGCATGCCTGTAATCCTAGCTTCTCAGGAGGCTGAGGCAGGAGAACTGCTTGAACCTGGGAGGCAGAGATTGCAATGAGCTGAGATTGTGCCAGTGCACTCCAGCCTGAGTGACAGAGTGAGACTCCATCTCAGAAAAAAAAAAAAGCATCAGATCTTGGTCAGGCGCAGTGACTCACGCCTATAATCCCAGAACTTTAGGAGGCCAAGGTGGGTGGATCACTTGAGATCAGGAGTTCAAGACCAGCCTGGCCAACATGGGGAAACCCTGTCTCTACTAAAACTACAAAAATCAGCCAGGCATGGTGGCAGGTACCAGTAATCCCAGCAACTCAGGAGGCTGGGAGAGGAGAATCACTTGAGACTGGGAGGTAGAGGCTGCAGTGAGCTCAAATCACACCACTGTACTCCAGCCTGGGTAACAGAGCGAGACACCATCTCAAAAAAAAAAAAAAAAAAAAAAAAAAAAAGCATCAGATCTCTATAAATCTTACTCAAACCAATAACGCAGACTAAACAGCTGAGTGGGCTTACAAAAAAACTGGAGTATCCAAAAACTAAAGAACTCAGCTGACTTCCATAGTAAAACAGAACCACAGAGACAAAGCTATAAGAAATAACTCTCACTCTCTACAGATGAGTCTTTGAGTAAATGAAAGCAGTAACTGCATTTAACAAGCAAAGCTTTCAAGCCTGTAATCCCAGCACTTTGGGAGGCCGAAGCGGGTGGATCACGAGGTCAAGAGATCGAGACCATCATGATCAACATGGTGAAACCCCGTCTCTTCTAAAAATACAAAAAATTAGCTGGGCATGGTGGCACGTGCCTGTAATCCCAGCTACTCAGGAGGCTGAGGCAGGAGAATTGCCTGAACCCAGGAGGCGGAGGTTGCAGTGAGCCAAGATTGCGCCATTGCACTCTAGCCTGGGTAACAAGAGCGAAACTCCAGTCTCAAAAAAAAAAAAAAAAAAAAAAAAAAAACAAGCAAAGCCACTCAATTTATCTACACTTGAAGAGAACAAACAAGGCTTTGGGGGCCCTAGAAAATGCAAAAGGACTCCACACACCGGAATGCTACTCGGGTGGACTCTGGATGCCTGAATTATGAATGATTTTTTTTCTGATTTTTGTATGGATCTGCCTGTACTTTCCATATTTTCTACAATAACAATTGTTTTTTATCATCAGAAAAATTAAAAGTACAAAAAGAATTGCACGTTGAGAAAAAATATTTTTACACAAATTTTTTATAATTATGTATTCCTTTCCACTTTAAACACAAAACCATCACCTAAATGAATGGATTTTCGAAACAAGAAAACCTCTATTGTAAGTACTATTAACACTCTGTACATAGCAGGTACTCCACATATATCTCTTGTTATACATGTTAGCTATAGATCACTATCAGATGAGCTTGAATCTTACTCATAAACGAGTACCCCACCTATGCACACTAGACATGCCATCTGATTCCCCAATTACCAGACACATACTATTAGTCAATATACAGTGGTTTTTATACTTAGCTATCAGCATTCTATATGTCTATTTATGACACTCTGGCAATTACATTAAAATTTCTTCACCAATCTAGGAAGAACTCTTATCTACCATACAAACTATAATATCAGTGTTATTTCTACTATGCCAAAAAATAAACTGTATTTATAACAGCGATTTATCTTGCAGATGTGTTATTTATATACACACATCTATTATACATCAAAAATTGGAGAGTAGATAAATCTTCTACCCAGGAGAAAGAAAAAAAGCAAAACAAAAAATTGGAGAGTAGAAAGAACAGAAATTACACACATGAAACAAAAAAGGGGTGACATGATGTACTATGAGCAGGAGAAATCTAAACTCCCAGCCGCACTTCCATCTAGAAGTTTCGACAAGATAAAGAGCATAGCTTAAGCAGTTTCTGAACAGCTGCACAAGTCCCAAAATGATACATGATTTTTCCCATCGCAAGCTTCACAGATAACTTGAAACTATTTTGGTAAACAGTTGAACAGGTGTAACTAAATTTGACATGTTATGAAAATATTCAGGACCAAGATGAAAAACCGCAAAATAACCTAAATTTAGAAATCACTTTAAATGAACAATAAGGTTGTAACTGTCAAAAAGTTATTCATTCATTTTTTTTTTAGACAGAGTCTTGCTCTCTCTCGCCCAGGCTGTAGCACAGTGGTATGATCTCGGCTCATTGCAACCTCCACCTCCCAGGTTCAAGCCACTCTTCTGCCGCAGCTTCCCAAGTAGCTGGGATTACAGGGATGCACCACCACGCCCAGCTAATTTTTGTATTTTTAGTAGCAACAGGGTTTCACCATGTTAGCCAGGCTGTTAAACTCCTGGCCTCAAGTGATCTGCCCACCTCGGCCTCCCAAAGTGCTAGGATTACAGGCGTGAGGCACCATACGCAGCCCAAAAAGTCATTTTTAATAGAATTTTTCAACATTAATTTTTTTTTTATGTTGAAAAATTCTAAAGTATACTTTGGTCAAGACACAAAGTGTAGCACTTGTACCATTCAGCAAGCATTTAGAGAATTAAGATAATTGGTACTAATTTCACAGTTAAATGTCCTTCATTAAACCTCTCACGAAAATAAGCTAAATTTGAAACAAAATTAAAAAGCCGTGAACTAGTTATCTGTAACATCTATAAAAGCAAGCAACAAATTTTTAACATACTAAAATTTTTTAAAATACTGCTGGAAAATTTTTTAATTCTAGAAATTAGATTTCCTTTCCATAAACCATCTACAACCTAGAAAGTATGCTTCTTCCTAATGGTCTTTTTTTCTATAAGAGCCTGTGAACATCTCCCCAACATATACACTGCTACGAAGAACCACAGCTCAAAGTGCTGAAACACTGGGTCAACCTCCTTTAAGCTTTCCAAGTCCTTAAAGTTTCAAGGCAGCTCACTGGAAATCAAACCGGTTCAAATCACATTGTTTCAACAAGATCAGTAATTTATTGTTTACTTAAAATATCATGTACAAGAGTTTCGCTATGTGTCTTCCATACTCACCTTCCAACTCAATGGAGTCAGCAATGGAGAAAGTGCCATGTACCACATAATGGCCAGGACAAACAATAACAGTATCACCTTCGAAGCAGGCATTTATAGCAGACAATGGATCACTATGGAACTAGAAAACAATAACAACACATTTGTAAATACACACTCCCAAAAAAGTAATCTGAGTATTACTCTAGGTGCCTTCAGGTCTTACTTTAAAAACAGAAGCCAAAAACTGCATACTGAAGCTTCTCCTTTGATAATGCACTGACCTAACACATACCTGGTAAGTAACTATTGCTGACAAAAGGCAAGGCTCTCACTACTTCCCACTGCACAGAAAACCATCTTGGGGAAGATCCTGTAAACACTCTGTCGGATTTGTAAAATCCTGGGGGGAATCAGAATTTAAAAAAAAGCCACCTGGAGTGAAAAACTCTCCATTTACCTGAATTTCTCTTTCTTCCTCACCAGGATCCTGGCAAAGCCTGTCCGTGAGCAGGGACCGCAGGAGACCAGCTATCATGGTGGAGGAGACCACATGAGTGATCTTCTGACCACTGGGACGGGCACCCTTTGCTTGGATATTAGAATTCTTCTGATATCCAAACACATACCTTAGAGAAACAAAACAGACCTATCAGTATGACAGCCAGTAAGGAAGGATGTTGACTAAGAATTACGAAGACACACATACCTCAACAAAGGATTCTCAATGAGTTTCAGCTTTTGTTTCAACTGTTCCATCTCCGAATACAATTTTAACCCTTCCACCATGGAGATATTTTCCTGCTCGGAATCAGAGTTACAATTTGACAAACTGCTTCTCAGATTTAAAAATTTCCTGTAACTCTCCTCACATTGAGACAACAGATTTCGGTAGTCAACAATAAGTCCTGTCGGAACTCGGTCTTCGAGAATGTCATAATGCCTAAAAGTTTAAAAGCAAATTGAAATCCATTGCCTTTCGGGCACATTTTCCTATCATTAAACAGCCCACTTAGCACTCCAAGACCCAGTAAGAAAAGTCTTTTATACTATATAACTCAGGTGCATATTAAGTCTTTCTGAATAGCACTGTAATAATAATCATAAGGGGAAGCTGTTGAAAGTTTAAAGCACCACTTCCTTGAGGTCACTAATTTTTCTTCTCTTTGAGGAGTTATTTCTTTTTTCTTGGATCCAAGTATTTGTGCTTTAGAAACACTGGAGGTTTGTGTTGTACCATTTGTAATTATTATTTAAAAAGAAATTATTTTCTTCCCATATATTAGATTCAATACCTTAATAAGAACGTGACGGGGGGCAACTTGGGAGTGGGGATAGGGAAAGCAGTATCTCAAATTGTTTCACAACAATGTTTAGGATTACCATATTTTTCATGGATCTGTTATAACTTTTAAAATTTTTTAGATTCCCATTATTTATAGAATCAAAAAGTAGAAATGACTCAAATAATCTAGTCCTTCCTTTCATCTAAAGCACTACGCCACAAAATTATGCTGAATATTCCCTAAGGAAGATTATTAAAGAATTTCAAAAAATAAGCTCTTGAGATTCTGAGGTGAAGAAAAAGGTGCCATTACTAAACTAGAGAGTGATTGAAACAAAATAACCTTGTGCTGGACAACCATACAGGCACTTCAAATGTATTAATTTGTAAACCTTCTCAAATATAAAAACAGAACACAGAGTATTTCTAGATGCAACAAAATAATCTGTAAATGTACAACCAAGTTCACAGATATAAAATTAATGGGTTTAAAAATAAAGTAAAATAGGCTGGGCACAGTGGCTCACACCTGTAATCCCAGCACTTTGGGAGGCCAAGGCAACTGGATTGCTTGAGCCCAGAAGTTTGAGCCCAGACTGGGCAACATGGCAAAACTCTGTCACTACAAAAATGCAAAAATAAGCCTGGTGCGGTGGCATGCACTTGTAGTCTTAGCTACTTGAGAGGGTGAGGTGTGAGAATCGCCTGAGCCCCAGGGGTCAAGGCTGCTGTGAGATCTAATTATACCACTGTACTCCATACGTCAGCCTCAGCAACAGAGCAAGACCCTGTCTCAAAAAACAAAAAACAGATGCTCAGGGCCCCATCCAGACTGATTTAAATGGGTCTCTGGAAGTAGAGGGGTATTTTTTTAAGTTCCCTGGGGATGCTAATGTGCAGCCTAGAGTGAGACCTATTGCCTTAAATGGTTTGTTTTGTTTTTTTAATTTACTCATGCTCTAAATAAGGAAAAACAAAAACAAAATAGAACTACATCTTAAGCAAATTTATATCAAATTATGATGAACACTTAAACATTTTAACTGAATAAAAAAGAAACTTTTCCCACTTTTCAAGTAAGTGAATTAGGTGAAGCTTGAAAAGCAAGAATTTTGTCTACTTTGGTTAATCCAAAAGAAACTGAGTGAACAGCTGTGAAAAAAAGGGTCAAACAAAAAAAGTTGAATATTAAAAATAAAATAAAATAAATTGAAGATGAAACCACAGTCCAATAAGTTGTGAAGATTAAGACTCAAATTTTAAAATAAGTTTCTTAGCATTTCTAGTATCCATACCCATTAGCTTATTTCTTTTCATTATATTGATACTTCATAGTCCAGAAGCAATGAGCCAACATTTATGTCTCAGAGCCCGAAGTTCTGGTTTTTTTCAGACCTCCTTTTTTTTTTTTTTTTTTTTTTTTTACATGAAGAGTAGTGAAGTGATTTTTTTTTTTTTTTTTTTTTTTTTAATAAAGAAGAGGAAGAAAGAGAAAGAGGAAGAGGGAGAGAGGATGGGGGCATTGCTCCATTGCCCAGGCTAGAATACAGTCCAAATATGGGTATGCCTACAATTGTCCTCAATAATGGTGACATGAAAGAAAATGAGGGAAGAGAATAACAAACAAGGAGCCAACCAAGATTTCATTTAAACCTCTAAATTGATATGATGTAGTACTGATGAGAGTGTATATTTTGTATATTTAAAGTGGAGAGTTCTATAAATGTTAATTACATTTACTTGTTCCAGATCTGAGTTCAAGACCTGAATATCGTTGTTAATTTTCTGTCTCACTGATCTATCTAATATTAATGTTGAAGTCTCCCACTATTATTATGTGGGAGTCTAAGTCTCTTTATAAGTCCTGTATGTCTAGGTATTCCTGTATTGGGTGCGTATATATTTAGGATCTTTAGCTCTTCTTGTTGTTGCATTGATCCTTTTATCATTATGTAATGTCCTTCTTTGCTTCTTTTGATCTTTGTTGCTTAATTGTAACTTCTATTTTTTATTTATTTATTTTAGCTCTCTGTTTGGTTGGTAAATCTTTCTCCATCCCTTGTTTAGAGTCTTTGTGTATCCTTGAATGTGAGATGGATCTGGATGCAGCATACTGATGGGTTTTAGTTTTTTATTCAAATTGCCTGTCTTTGGATTGGGGGATTTAGTCAATTTAAATTTGGAATTAATAATAATATATGAGTTTAATACTGTCATTAGCTGGCTATTTTGTCCATTAGTTGATATAAATTCTTCATTATATTGATGCTCTTTTTGATAATTTTTTTAGAAAGGCTGATACTGTTTGTTCCTTTCATATGTGTAGTGGTTCTTTCAGAAGCTCTTGCAAAGCAGGCCTGGTGGTGATGAAATCTCTGAGTGCTTGCTTATTCACAAAAAACTTTATTTTTCCTTCGCATGTGAAGCTTAGCTTGGCTGGATGTGATATTCTGGGTTGAAAGTTCTTTTCTTTAAGGATGTTGAATATTGGCCCCCACTCTCTTCTGGCTTGTAGGGTTTCCGCCGAGAGATCTGCTGTGAGTCTGATAGGCTTCCCTTTGTGGGTAACCTGACCTTTCTCTCTGGCTGCCCTTAGTATTTTCTCCTTCATTTCAACCCTGGTGAATCTGACGATTATGTGCCTTGGAGTTGCTCTTCTTAAGGAATATCTCTGTGGTGTTCTCTGTATTACCTGGAGTTGAATATTATCCTGCCTTACTAGGCTGGGAAAATTCTCCTGAATAATGTCCTGAAGCGTATTTTCCAGCTTGGATTCATTCTCTTCGTCACATTCAGGTACACCTATCAAGCGTAGATTAGGTCTTTTCACATAGTCCCATATTTCTTGGAGACTTTGCTCGTTCCTTTTTATCCTTTTTTCTCTCGTCTTGTCTTCTTGTTTTATTTCAATGAGTTGATCTTCGACCTCTGATATCCTTTCTTCTGCTTGATCAATTCGGCTGTTAAAACTTGTGCATACCAGACCTCCTTTAATCAGGTATAAGCAGTGTGTTTTGAAGTAGAAAGGAAAAATATTTACTGCACAGTACTAAATCCAGACAGTCTTGGTTGATCTTGCCTGTTGATAGCCCCACTCCCATCTCAGCCCAGAGACCTTTTTTAAGTCTGCCTATGTTTGAAAACATTCCAGACTCTCCATCAAGTATCACGTCTTCTGCGTAACGACACACGATTCCTCCCTTATGCCTCCCCATGTGTCAGTGATGTGCAAGCTATGCATGTAAGTCATTTCTTGTTAGCACATGCAAGGCTATCAAATCAGAATGCAATTATTTTCCAAGTAAAGACTGAATCTGCCAGATATACATTATGTTCACTTATCATATTTCACATCAACCAAAACCAGTCATTTCTTTTTAACAACAAGGGTATCAAACCTAGAAAATCCTCAAGCTTATTAAATTTTGGGATTTTATTGAATATGCTATGGAAAAATAGGAAATACATAATGGAAAAACTGCAAAGCCTAAATAGAATCATAGCCCAATTATGAACAGCTGAAATCAGACATACATAATTCTAAACCAGGTAGAACTATTAATCAGACTTTCACACTTTTTTTTTTTTTTTTTTTTTTAAGGCAGGGTCCTGCTCTGTCACCTAGGCCAAAGGGCAGTGGTTCAATCACAGCTCACTGCAGCCTAAAACTCCTGGGCTCAGGCAATCCTCCTGCCTCAGCATCCCCAGCAGCTGAGACTACAGGCGTGCCCCACCACACCCAGCTAACTTTTCTTTTTTAGGTTTTGTAGTTAGGGTCTCACTATGTTATGCAGGCTGATCTCAAACTCCTGGGGTCAAGAGGTCTTCCCAGGCTGGGCACAATGGCACAGGCCTGTAATCCCAGCACTTTCGGAGGTCGAGGCAGGAAGATCACTTGAGGTCATGAGTTAGAGACCAGCCTAGCCAACATGGTGAAACTCCATCTCTACTAAAAATACAAAAATTAGCTTGGTGTGGTGGCATGCACCTGTATTCCCAGCTAGTCAGGAGGCTGAGGTAGGAAGAACACTTGAGCCCAGGAGGTTGAGGCTGCAGTGAGCGAGATCACATCACTGCACTCCAGCCTGGGCAACAGCCTAAGAGCTTGTCTCAAAAAAGTCACCTTCCTGCTTCAGCCTCCCAGATTGCTGGGATTACAGGTGTGAGCCCCCATGCTGGGCCTCAGACACTTTTTATTTTATTATTATTTACTATTAAAACCAAGAGAAACTTACCAAATCTACTTGCGTTACACAAAAATGTAGAAGCTTACTTCTTTATCTTCTCACCTCATCTTTCACATGGGGAAAAAAATCATCTTTCAAACAGGGAAAAAATTACCATCTACAATTATTTTTTGTAGTATAAGTTATAATTTTATTTTTATTGCAGCACTGCCTATGAAGTTATTGCTCATGAATACAAGAAAAAAAATTACTGGTCTTAAAGCACCATCTAGTGGGAAAATAAATGCCACAGTTAATAAGGTCACTATAGAATAACTACTTGTATTTGGGTTTGTGGTTAATCTTGGTATTTTTTTGAGGGTTTTTTTCTGCCAAAATATGATTAATTTGAAGAATGTGTGCTTAGGTTTTTTTGAAAATTTTTATTTACCACCGATATTATTTATTCTTTTCATCTATTTCTGAAATAAGGTTTAAGGCGGGAGGCTGACAAAATATCCTAAGGTAGATCTGTTACTTCAGCCTGCTGTTTTACTATAAGAACTTAGAGTAAAGCCATATACCTTTAAAGTATTCTTCATAAAATTAAAGGAAAAAAGTCTTCTAGAATTCAAATAATGTCACTGTTTTTCAAACAATTGAATTTAACAAAGGGCTTTTTTAATCCACTAGTTCAACTGAATTTTATTCAAATTAACAAAACAGTGAGCTATTAATTTAGATGTTCTTGAACTCCCTGCTTTTACATTCAGTTTATAAACACTAAAAGCAGGTTTCTCTGCACTTGTATAAGTTTCATTTAATAACATGTAAAGGGGTGGTATAATTTGTACATCAGTCTATTTCTGTCTATGAGCCCCTGGAGAGAAAGAGAGAAAATGTGTGTATGTGTGTGTGTGTGTGTGTGTGTGTGTGTGTGTGTATGTGTGTGTGTACGCACCTCACAGCCAAAACTAAAACATGGATAACTATTTTTCCAACATGTATGACAAGGTCAGTAATAAATACTTACAATCTTAATCGAGGTTCAACACATCTGACAAAATAATCATATTCATCCTCCTCTTCTTCATCCCAACTCCTCCAAATATTTTGGTAGAAAAATCTGAAATGAAACTGAGTATCATTCAAATTCTATAACTGACTCAAAACATTAGGATTTTGGAGGGGTGAGACCTAAAGAGTAAATTAAAACAATTCTCCTATCTTAGAGAAGGTTGCATATTTGCTATGGTTCATAGTCACGAGTCACGCAACATAGAGATCTTCTGTGGATCAGCTAAAGAAGTTTCTCCAAATCCTTGCTTTTGTTAGGGCTCTTTTTTTTCTGAGGCGGAGTCTCACTCTGCCGCCCAGGCTGGAGTGCAGTGGCTCAATCTCAGCTCACTGCAACCTCTACCTCCCGCCTCAGCCTCCCGAGTAGCTGAGATTACAGGTGTCTTTTGCATTTTTACAAAATACAGCCCAGCTGTATTTTTGTATTTTTAGTAGAGATAGGGAGGGTTTCACCATGTTGGCCAGGCTGGTCTCGAACTCCTGACCTCATGATTTGCCCGCCTCGGCCTCCAAAAGTGCTGGGATTATAGGCGTGAGCCACTGCCTGGAAATTGGGTCAATAATTATCTTGCTTGCATTAATATTTCTTAATGTATGTATAGTTCACATTTATTTCAATGTTTAACATTATAATTGCGGCCTTCCGTCGGTCGGTCTTTCCTTCCTGCTTCGCCTCCACGCCTCGCGCTATGGGGCAGAGCCCCTGATAGGATAGCACCACCTGAGGATCCAGAAAACGCCTCCACGTTGGAAGAGGACCAGGAACTGGAGAGGAAAGCCATAGAAGAACTGCTTAAGGAGGCAAAACGTGGAAAAACTAGAACTGAAACAATGGGACGCATGGGTTGGATGCCGTGTCTGTCCTCTTGCTGGTACCAATAAAAGATTTCTAACACAATTAAAAACACATTGCCCTGTCATCAAGAGCAAGACCATGAACAAAAAGAGGGCGATAAGGAACCAGCGAAGAGCCAGGCCCCAGAAAGAAGAAAACCCGAAGAAACGCAGAAGCCATTCTTACAAGCACAGTTGCCCGAGGTTCCGTCAGTTATTCCCCACCATGGAAGTGGAGCAGCCAGGACAAGTACGAGAGGCGGCCCAACCGGCGGTGAGGCCAGAGCCAGGGCCAGCCAGCCCTGCGGGCTCCGTGCTCCTTCAGGTGCGGTGTGCAGAGAAGGCGTTAGCTGGCAGGGCAAACATCTAAGAGTGACTTTTACAGTACATCCTTTGTTGTTCTTAAAGAGGCTGCTGGCCACCGGCAAAAATGACCTAGCAACTCTCCCAGGAAACAAGTACAAAGGAGGATGTCTTGGCAAGTTTAAGCTACTTCTGCAGTGTAGTAGACATGTATTATTGTTAGTCTATCTTGTTTGGAAGAGCGTTTCAAAATATGTGTAGAATTTAAAGTTTTCAGAAATTATTAAAACTAAAATTGTTAAAAATTGTTCCAATTTTTTGGTCATTTCTCAAAAAAAAAAAAAAACCACTTATAAATCATGTTACTTTTTAGGGGTATCAAATTTAAAATTTAGAAGTCATCAGTCCAGTGACCGTATTTATGAAAACCGTAGCCCTCCAAGCTCTGGGAATTTATCAAGAAACTGATAGCTCTGCATTTGTTTCCCTTCAGGTGAACAATGTAGGACATCCCCAAAGTGGCTTTGAATTTCATGCTCCACTTCAGTTACCAGAGGTTAAAAAATGGGTTCTGTTGTTTTCTGTGCATTCTCAAACTCATTTATTAGAACAGTTTTTATATATTTAATTTTTTTAATATATAGGTTTTAAGTGGTGCTTTAAAAAGATCCCTCACAAGTTAAAAAAAAAAAAAGCTATTTCAGTGCTAGATCTTACCAGCTAATGTCTTAACGATATCACTATTAGTATAGTTGTTCCAGAAATCTTCATTTTAAATAGAAGTGTTTACAGCATCTTCTCCCCCACCCCCCAGTATTGGTTTTGAGTACCTGTTTTAACATATAATTACAAACCTTTCAAACCTGTATTCCTTCTTTACACTCAGGAAATTGTCACCAAGCGCCCTCCTACCCAGTCCACAAAAGGAAGAAGATGAAGATTCTGTCTCCCTGTTCCCCCTCCTCAGTTTTCCAAAGTGTCTGAGCGTATGTATGCATGGCTGTCCCAAGATCATCGCCATGCCACATCCCTGCTCCCCACTTCCTGGCAGCCAAGGAAAGCCCTTTCTACATGCTAGAAAGAAATACATTTGAAAAGTTAGCTTTGGGGTATTAGAAACTAGAATAGACTTTTCCACCACTGAGCTGATCCCAGGGACTCATTCTGTGACTGTCACCACACTCATTCCTTTCAAACACAGAGGAGGAATCATTGCTTCATCTAACTTTATTCAAATATAGTAATGCATTAGCCAAAATTATTTGTGCAAAATTTGAAATGTTTTGTATTTAAATATTAGAAATAGCACAAAGTCATGGGGTTTTTAAAAATTGCTATAATTAAGTAAAAATAAAGCTGAATTGTGTCAAAAAAAGAAAAAAAGATTATAATTGCTTGGAGTCTTTATTTAGGAGTTTGATGCTGGTTTCATGACCAGATATATGATACAGAAACTTTAATTTTGTTTATATCAGTCAGTCTATGGTAAAACTGGTTTCATTAACGTCGCAGTTTCTAAGAACCTACTAATAACAGTAACTGAGGACTTTACTACAATGCCTGGCTATGTCTTTTTGTGAGGTTAAGACTGATCAACAGATTCAGGTTGTCAGCCTGATGCACCCACTACAAAGTTCTCCTTCTCTAATGGTTGCAGCAGTCATTGATGTTCACAGTCTAGAACCTTTATTTCATTAATGGTTACAAAATACTGACAGTCTATCACTTTCTTCATGTATTGGTTAGAATACTTTTATAAAGAAATTCCTCAGGTGATTCCAAAGTGCTTCCAAGGTTGATTGGAGAAAAAATAGTAGATGGCCTAGGGCTGATCCCTGGATAACTCCGACATTCTAAAGTTTAAGCATGAGAGGAAAAGCTGGTCGAAATGACTAAGAAAGCAAGCCAGTAAGACATCAGCTGAACAGTGGTGTCCCAGAAGCTGAGAGGAGAGTGTGTTAAGAAGATGGGAATGATCAAACACCTAGTATGTCAAGAGGTCAAGCAAGGTAAGATCAGAGGCAAGACGGGACAGTGAAATGTCAACTGAATACAAGAACATGAATACAAGGACTGAACACAAGAACACGGAAGTCTTTGAGCACAATTTCAGAGATGAAGTCAGGGTAGAAGTGTTACGCGGACATCAGGAAGTATACACTGTGACTATATATAGCTCTTTGAAGAAGTTCTGTTGTGAAAAGGAAGCACTGAAAATGAAACCAGTCATCTCTTAATTACTATAGATTGGGCTGTTAGTCCCTTCAGCCTCTAGTAGTCTTTTTATTTTTTGTTTTTATGATGAACTTAAGCATAGCTCTACTCAATTTAAAAAATAAAACAAAACACCTCTGCTGGCTCCCTTTTAGCCCTCAGAAAGAAGTCCTGAACGTGCTACTATAAACAGATTCATAATCTGGCCCTACTGCACCTCTCCTGCCTCAGAGCTGTTGTACATAAACTCTCAATTTCACAAGTTCTTTCAAACCTCCATGTAACATGTTAGTCAAGCTGCCAGAAGTGCCTTCCACCTTTTCCACCTGGTAAGCTTATAGTTACATTCCATGACTCGGCTTCAATGTCATCCTCACCAGTACCATGCCAAGCATTTACACATCATTCCCATCTGTACCTCCCCTAGTGTTGATTCTTTCAAGCCAGAAATGTGGAAGTCAGCCTTGACTTCTCTCATATCACTCTTATCCTCTCATCTCCTGTATCTGCTGGACCACAAAGTCCCAGCCATTTTGCTTTCTCAGGAAGCCTCCATCTGTCCTCTCCATATCCCCACTCTAGTTCTCTCTCTTGCCTTTTAACTGGTCTCCCTATTCCATCCCCCACCATCTGTTTTCCACACAGAAGCCACGATGAACCCTTGAAAACACAAAGCTGTACTTCAGGGGGTTGAGGTAGGAGGACTGCTTGAGCCCAGGAATTCAAGACCAGCTTGGGCAACAGAGCGAGACCCCCATCTCTACAAAAATCAAAAATTAAAAAATGTAAAAACATTTAGCTGGGCAGTGGTGGCACATGCCTGTAATCCCAGCTGATCCGGAGGCTGGGGCAGGAGGATGACTTGAGCCCAGGAGTTCAAGCCTGCATTAAGCTATAATTGCACCACTGCACTCCAGCCTGGGAAACAGAATACGACCCTGTTTCAAAAAAAAAACAAAAACACAAAACTAGTGATACCCAAAAATAAAAACGATTCAGTGGCTTCCCACTGCTTTTTTTGTTGCTGTTGTTGTTTTTTGAGACGGATTTTTGCTCGTTACCCAGGCTGAAGTACAATGGTGTGATCTTGGCTCACCGCAACCTCCGCCTCCTGGGGTCAGCCAATTCTCCCACCTCAGCCTCCTGAGTAGCTGGGATTACAGGCACGCGCCACCATGCCCAGCTAATTTTTTGTATTTTTAGTAGAGACGGGGTTTCACCATGTTGACCAGGATGGTCTCGATCTCTTCACCTCGTGATCCACCCGCCTCGGCCTCCCAAAGTGCTGAGATTACAGGCTTGAGCCACCGCGCCCAGCCCCCACTGCTCTTAAAGACAAAAATGACTAGCTAACAAAGCTTTGCACCATCTGACCCCTGCCAACCTCTCTAATCTGGTTTCCTTGGTCTCTCCCAGCACTGTCTGTGTTCCAGCTATGCTGGCCTTTCAGTCCCTTAAACACACTCAGCTCCTAAATCTTTTTCCTTCCCCACCCCGCCACCCCTTTCCCCAAGCTAACCCAAGTTCAAATGTCATTATTCCAAAAAATAACCCTAGAACAGCAACTTGACCTAATCTGAGGACACCCTGTAATTCTTCCCAGCACTCACTGCTACTTCTAATCAAGTAGACATCTGTGCATGATTATTTCATCAAGGTTCATCTCCTAGCTTTAGACAGACAGCTCCCTGATGATGGTGCCTGTCTCATGCACCAGACATACCCATCCTTGACTAAGAACCTGGCACTCAAATATTTATTGAATCAACAAACAAATGAAAACCCTCATAATTTGACCTTCTCTGGGCACTGGCCCAAATCTCAGCCCTCAAAATGAAGAGTAAATTTAACCAGGCTCCTCTTCAAATAATATTACCAAATAACATTCCAGATACTTATTTTTCTACCAACTTCTATGCCCATAGAGATTAGCTCCCTGATTCCTAATTTCCTAGACTTATCAGTTACCCCTGTATCTTCAAATGCTTCAATTGGCAGACTTTTGTAAAATGAGAGAACAGGAAGGGAGTTCTTTTGGTTCTGGACAGAAACTGGTTTAGATTCATTCTGCTTGGCCCAATACCGAACATCTAGGGTTACATGTTCTTGCAACAGTTAGAAACTGTCTGTAAGATGTTGGCAGCAGGGCCTGAGACACTCTGCTTCTTTGCAGAGCATTCAAATTAAGCTCAGCAAAACCAGGTTAACTCACTAATGGTATAGAAAATGGAAAGTACTTTTTATACTACAAAACACCAAGCAATATTATTTACATAATGGTCATTAATTATTACTCAGTCTTCTAGTTCCTGGAGGAATATAAGTCTATTTTTAAATAGCTAAAGTAAGCCTTCTTTGGTGAATATACTTAAATACAGAAGATCCAAAACGACTCTCTGTATCAGGAGCCATCTAATAAAAGATTGATCTGAAAAATTGTTTAAATCATACCCACTGATCCAGGTATGGGCTTTCTTTCCCACGTAAGGGACAAGTGGTCTGCTTTTACAGTGGAAATAACTATGGCAAAAAAGGCTGACAGGTAGGAATACAACCCCTAATGATCCTAAAAGCACCCTAAGAAAATGCTTGCTTTGACCAGACCGATGCTTGACAAACTGTGCATTCATCTTTTAGCAGTGCATATAGCATGGTATATAACCTTCTTCACTGTCTTTCTCTTCTTCTATTTTCTGTACTCTTATATTGAAATATACCAACCATAAGCCTTAACATCCACAACTTTTAAGCCAGTTTATATACAAACCAAATTAAGAAGCCCCTACTTTTGTTAATATTTGGGAAAGTCAAGTAAAAGACAAATAGGAATTATTTATACACTAGACCCTTGAAGAACACAGGTCTGAATTTCGTGTGGTTCACTGTTAACACTGAGTGTGCCAGCCTCTCCTGCCTCCCTTTCTACCTCTCCTCCATCTCGTTTGCATCTGCCATCCTGAGGCAGCAAGATCAATCCCTCTTCTTTCTCTTCCTCCTCAGGTGAAGATGATGAGGATGAAGACCTTTATGATGATCCACTGCCACTTAATGAGCAGCAAATACATTTCTCTTACGAATTTTCTTTTCTTAGCACTTTATTATAAGATAATACACATACAAAATATGTGTTAATCAACTATGTTAATGGTAAGGCTTCTTTTCTGGTCAACAGTAAGCTATTTTTAGTTTTGTGTTGGGGGAGTCAAATGTTGTACTCAGATTTTCAACTAGGGGTGGGGGAAGATAGGCACACCTAACCCCCACATCATTCAAGAGTCAACTATACTAGTTTTTTCAGCTTTTCTCTAAGTTTGAAATTATCATAAAATGATTTAAAACATTTTTTTTTTTTTTTGAGATGGAGTTTTGCTCTTGTTACCCAGGCTGGAGTGCAATGGCACGATCTCGGCTCACCGCAACTTCCGCCTCCTGGGTTCAGGCAATTCTCCTGCCTCAGCCTCCTGAGTAGCTGGGATTACAGGCACGTGCCACCATGCCCAGCTAATTTTTTGTATTTTTAGTAGAGACGGGGTTTCACCATGTTGACCAGGATGGTCTCGATCTCTTGACCTTGTGATCCACCTGCCTCCCAAAGTGCTGGGAATACAGGCGTGAGCCACCGCGCCCGGCCTGATTTAAAACATTTTAATTTTAAGAAGATTATCCTGTCTTTGGATATTTTTAAATATTGCAAGAACCAAGTTTATAGTTGAGTTTAAATCTAGGTCTGACACAAACCAGAAATTTCATCCAAAGTTTATGGCCACAAGGTTATTTTTCTCAACTTCTTTTCCTACCTGACATGCTCAATTGCAAGGGCTGTCTGGTCAAACACTCCCGAATCATCAAATACCACCCACAGCTCCTGCAGGGGCAGCCGATGTTCCTTCAGATCCAGGAGTTCCTTCATACACTCCATGGTAAAAGTGCTCACTTGAGAGTCACAGAGGTATGGTTCGGCAAGCCTCACCACTGCCTTCAAGGCTGCAAAGTCCACATCTGTGACCTGAAATTCAATATAATGTGATTTAACATAAGGAAATCAAAATTAAGATACACCTATAAGACACTAATGACAGCCTGATACTTTTAAAAGCATACAACAGGAGTGGGGAACCTTTACCCATAATACAAAGGATAAACAAGACAGGCTGGCTCTTACCCTCACGGAGCTTACACTGTAATCAGGGAGATCAGTAAGCACGATGGTAACGAGTAGGTGACAGAGAGAAACTAGCAGGGGTGAGGATCTGGTTCTGCTGAGATGGCCAGGGAAGTCAGCTCTGAGCCAGGCTGAGGAAGATGAGAAGGAAGCAGCCATCTGAAGAGCAGGAAAGGCGCAGAAGGCCTGTGGCAGAGACAGGGTTAGCAGCTGGAGGAGCAGAAAGACAGTCCTTCTTGCTGGAGCCAAAGGGAGGAAATGGAGGAGGGGGGTGCAGTGGAGCAACAAGAGATGAGGTGAGAGAGAGGAAAGGACATGAAGAACATCCAAAGGAGCATAGATTTTACGTGTTTTCTATAACAATGAGAAGCCAAAAAGGGAATACTAAGACCTTGGTAAAGGCAATGTATTAAAAGTTTTAAGCAGAGAAATGTCATGCTTCTCTTTTAAAACAATGACTTTGATAATTTTCAGAGAACTGATTGGTGGCGGGGGCAGCAGTGGGGGGATAACAATCATAAACGAATGAATAGGCCTGAACTTCAACCACAAAATGGCATAATCTATTTAAAAACAGATTATGCCATTTTGTGGTTGAAGTTTTAAAAATTTTAAAACTCACAAGCAGCAGCTGGGCAATCCACTACCTCGTACATAATCACTGCAGTATGTGATGCCATTTTCTAAGGGAGCCGCAGCAACAACTTGGATTCACACCCCCTGGTTTGACATTTTAGTTTACTAGGGCTTTTTGTGGTCAGTTAACAAACACTGAGAAAAATTCAAAGCTGTAATTAGAATGCAAATGTAATGTAAAAGGCCCAGTCAGGTGAAAAATAAGATTGTTTTTACATTCTACAGTGGGACACACTGTCAAGAGATTAACCACATATCTACACATTTGCTAGGCAAAAAATGGGCTAATTTAAAAATGCCTCTTAGCAGAGGTTGCAGTGAGCCAAGATCATGCCACTGCACTTGCCTGAGCAACAGAGCAAGACTTAACTCAAAAAAAAAGTAAATAAAAATAAATAAATAAAAATGTCTCTTAGGTTTGAGCTGCTTAATGAACTACAATTAAGATGTTAAAAACTTTTTCGAAACCATTAACTTCATAATTAGGCCTCATTTTTTAAGTGATCTCAAATACCTTCTTTTAATTAAACCAGTTTAATTCCCTGGTAGAAACTCCTCAATTGCCTTTAAAATTTGTGGAACACTTGCTACAACATGGCAATTAGATATGAATTTGAATTACATGCTATTTGAATCAGCTCATAAATTTTAATTAAAAATAAGCACTTTGGCTATAACAGTCTGAAGTAAAGTGCTTATAGCTAAAGACAAAGGTCTTAACAACAAAATTAAACTTACCTCAACTAGCACCTTGAACACATTAGTATGCCAGACTGCCCGCCATCCACATGTCTCAAGGACCTTCTCCAAGAAATCAGCTGTGAATTCCTTTACCTCAGAGGCCTTGCAGTCAGCTACAAAGAAATTAAACACAGGAAGCAATGAGAATGCATAAAGCAGAGGGAAGTTAATAAATCCACTTAAATCCACTTTCTCAGAAACAACTGGCAATCTGAGGGACTGAAACAAACAATCTACTTGCAAAACGAAAAAAAAAAAAGATGCAAAAAACCTACTCACCTAAAATGTAATCTTGATAGGCTCTGAATCGCTCATAGAACAAAAGTTGATTTGTTTGGAAAATTTCTGGGAAAAGAGTTTTTCCTTCTGGCATAAAACTCTGTAAACTAGAACCTGGTTTATCATGGTAGCTATAATCACTGCATGAATCTTCATCTTGGAACAAACCTTAAAAAAAAAAAAAAAAAGCAAGTTCCAGTGCCTTAGTGAATGCTTCTATTTTCATATCCTTGCATAGAAATCCCAAACAAAATACAAACCAGAATCTGAATATGAATGTTCTACTTACCTCTACCATTATCAGAAGAAACTAGCTTTCCAAACTTAAAAATATTTCAAAATCCAAATTCTACTTCAAAACAATAAGTGTTTAAGATCTTTAACAGTTAGATTTTTGTTGTTGTTCTATGATGTTTTGGGGGCCAGCAGAAAGCTGTTTGTTTTTCTTTCAGAAAGAGTCTCACTCTGCACCTAGGCTGGAGTGCAATGGTGCGATCATAGCTCACCCCAACCTCAAACTCCTGGGCTCAAGCAACCCTCCTGCCTCAGCCTCCTGAGTAGCTAGGACTACAAACATGTACCAGCACATCCAGCTGGAAGACAGTTGATTTTTAATTCAGTGGAAATCACCCAAGTTCTCCTTCAAAGCATACAGCCTGTGATTTATACTACAGTTAGTAAGTTACAATGATCAAGTATCTTATTTATTTTCCAAAACAATTCCATAAAGCTCCTTTAAGAAAGGGAGCTGACTTCCCCTCAGATGGGTTAAACTCTCCCTTTATTTCCTACAATATCAGTCTGTCAATGGCCCTTCAATAAACAGGGATGGTCGAGTCTTAATAATCCAAAAGGTTTACTTCAGTAAGGGTATTAGGTTCCTCAGTAATTTCAATGACTGTGTCTAAGGAAAAGATCAGAAAATGCAAATCACATTAGGTTTGGGCTACACATAATGTTACATAAGTTATGATTCAGCCAGTGGCATATCTAATTCTGTGTAATAAGTTATTTTTAAAATAAAAAAAAAGTTTTTAATAAATGAAACATCTACCAAATAAGCAACGGTAAGAAGGGTAGCTTTCAGAATGTAGAGTAGTTTCGAGAGGTGGTTTCAGGGAAGGTATCTGATCTGTTAGCAGAAGCCTTTTTTCCCTCTCCCCCTTGATTTTCTCCTTACTCTTCCTCCTTCATTTATTTGTCCCTGTTCACACCACCAGAAGTACTTGATCTACAGATGATCAAAGTATACTCAAGGGTCTACTGCTCACAAACACTGATGCACATGAGCCTTAGAAGGTATAAGTACCTTACTGGCTGTGTGACTATCACTCTGTGCCTCAGCTTCTTCTCCTACAAAGGGAAGATAAAATAGTACATCTACTTCAATTAAGAAGATTAATTAAATTATTTGTTAATAATTTACAACAGTGCCTATTACATAATGTATATGTTTAGTAAAGAAATAGTAGTACTTCAACACCTTTTTTTTTTTTTCCAGCACCATTCTTTATAGCTACTTTGTTTTTGTTTTTCCAGCTTTATGGAGGTATAATTAACAAATAGAAGTTATATACATTTGAAGATTTTAACAGGCACGGTGGCTCACATCTGTAATCTCAGCACTTTGGGAGGCCAAGGAGGTGGATTACCTGAGGTCAGGAGCTCAAGACCAGCATGGCCAACATGGTGAAACCCTGTCTCTACTAAATGTACAAAAATTAGCCAGGTGTGGTGGCGGGCGTGGGCAGCTGTAATCCTAGCTACTTGAGAGGCTGAGGCAGGAGAATCACTTGAACCCAAGAGGCGGAGGTTGCAGTGAGCTGAGATCGTGCCACTGCACGCCAGCCTGGGCAAGAGTGAGACTCTGTCTCAAAAATAATAAAATAAAAAATAAAGTGTATTACATGATGTTTTGATATACCTATACATTTTGAAATGATTACCGCAGTAAAGTGAATTAGTATTTCCATCACCTCGCATACTTACCTTTTGTGTGTATGTGGTGTGAACACTAATGATCTACTCTGTTAGCAAATTTCAAGTACAAAATCTGCATCATCACGTCATTGCCTATTAATACTGTAATAATAACACAGTATTATTAACTATAGTCACCATGCTGTATGTCCATCAGATCTCCAGAACTATTCACCCTGAGTAACTGAAACTTCGGACCCTTTGACCAACATCTCCCCATTCTCCCCCTGGCAACTACCACTCTACACTCTTTCTATAACTTCCTCTTTTTTAGATTCCCCATATAAGTGATGTCATGCAGTATTTCTCTCTGTTTGCAGCCACCTTAAAAACATTATTTCGCTTCGTCTTCGCCACAAATACAACCAACTTTTGCCAGTTGGAAAGGTGGGTTAGTAGTGGAATTGTCACACTTATGTTTTCTCACTTCTCTGGGACTCTCTGCTACACAATACAACCGAAAGTGTTAATGTAAAAACAGAACCAGCTTAAAATGTCAGAAAAAAAAAAAAAAAAGCAGTAATGAAACTATGAGGAGGAAGAAAGGGCGGAGAACTAGGAGATGCTGGTTCTATTTCTGGCCCAAGTTGGGGCTTCTCACTTTGGACACGTCATTACCCTCTGTGCACAGGACAGCCATCTAGGCAAAGGGTTCAAGCTTTCCTCTTCTTCGGGAAAGGGAAGTGTAGTTCATGATCTCCTTTGAGATGCAGATGAAAAAGATGACCCCTTGCGCAACAGTAAATGCACAGTTCCGCAAAGCGCATCCAGATTGGGAATTCCTGGCCCAACCCAGTCCCCTCCAATCTCGGGGAAGCTGAGGCCAGAGAGTTGGGGGAAGAGGGGGAAACGGGGAAAGGGAAGAGAAGGAGTCCCCTACACCGACACCAGGTACAGCCTGATTTTGACTTCCCGGTCACAGGTTCCCAGCAGTTCACCGCTCCACCCTGGACCTCCGGGTCCGGAAGGCCTGCGACCCAGGCGCCCACCGAGGGTCCCGACGTCCCAGGCATCCACTGAGAGGCGGTTCCTCGGGCCCAGCATGGTGGAGCTCACCTTTCTCCAGAGACGCCGGCTCCTGCTCGGCCGCCCAGCCCGTGCGCTCGGGAGCCATGGCCGCCGCCTCCAGACCGCCGCCCGTCAGCGACCCGTCAGCCATTTCGAATTTCCGCGGGCAGCAGCCCCGGCAATGACGGGATGACGCAGGCGCTGCTGATTGGATAGTCGGGCCGAGGCCGTGGACCAATTAGAGTCTGGCCTCGCTGCAGCCCCCACCAACCCGGGCGCCGCGCCCCGAGCCGACAGCTGTTCCTGTTCAAGTGCCCGGCCTTTGCTTTTCTCGGATGAACATGAAGAAAGTCAAATTAGGACATAATTTGGAATGATTTTCGAAAAAAACAACGAACAACGCCTAGAAATAAGATATAGTGGAAAAATAACTGTGTTGAGAGTCAAAAAACATAGTAAACTTATCTGAGCCATTCCTAGAGGTATTGCCCTGGGCAAGTCATTTCGCCTCCCACAAGCACAACTTCAGCTGGAAAGATGCTGCCCTTGGGGGGCCTAAAGCTTTCACCACCAAAAACCTGTGTCTCTCGGCCTTTCAGTATGCACACATGTAGCGTATTTTCAAAGAATGTCAAATTAAATTTAGTAAATAAATTTGTTAATTTGGATTAATCAAAGGCAACTATAATTTTCAATATAATGGCTAGCATTTACTGTGTATTGTGTGCAAGACGCCTTCCTGCATGTATTACCTGCATTGTCCTGTTTAATCTTCACAACAATCCTTTAAGACAGGAGTTGTTACTATACCAGTTTTACAAATGAGCAAGTGGAGTCACTAAGAAGTTAACTCATCTCTCCAGTCTAACCCAGCAAAGCCAGGATGTGAAAGCAGCCAGACTCCATGAAGAAGCCCTTTAATGTCTCTGCCAGGCCATCACTGCTAGAATGATGAGATCAGCCTGAGATGGCCCAGGCTACCAGGACACCAGGTGGGATGAGTCCACAGGAGGCCGAGAGCCTGGTCATGGCAGTTCTCCTGTGCAGTCTTAATGCAGGGAAACACTTCCATTTACTGCTTTGAAGAAATACCTTGGGCTAAAGTCTCTCTGATCCCTTACAGCTGGAATAAAATGGAACCAGGAGACCTGACTATGGAAACCTGTACTTAATTGGGCTAGCTTTTCCAGGAAACAAGATTTCTCTGACTGTTGTGTGCAGAATCTGACTTTATATTTATTTGCTCACTAACAAATACTTACTGAGTGCCATGAAGTGAAACACAAAAAACAATAATCAAGACTAATGACTGGCCTTGAGGACTAAGCTAGCTTTCTCATTATCCTCCCTTCAACCTTCCCATCCACAAACCTTGCAAGTGGCAGCATTTCTCCTCACCCATTTGCATCATCACTGGATGCAATACAGTTCTCTTCTCATCCAATTACCAAATATTTTATCAACCAACACGATATTGCTAAAACCAGACTGGGCATAGTGGCTCATGCCTGTAGTCCTACCACCTTAGGAGATGGAGACAGGCAGATCACTTGAGTTCAGGAGTTTGAGACCAGCCTGGGCAATGTGGTGAAACCCCCACCTCTACAAAAAATACAAAAAAAAAAAAAAATCATCTGGGTGTGGTGACATGTAGCTGTGGTCCTAGCTACTCAGAAGACTGAGATGGGAGGATCTCTTGATCCCAGGAGGATCTCTTGAGCCCAGGTTGCAGTGAGCCAAAATCACACCACTGCACTGCAGCCTGGGCAATAGAGTCAAACCCTGTCTCAAAAAAAAAAAAAAAAAAAAATATATATATATATCCCAAACCAGTGCTTCTGGAAAATGTTAGAAAGGAGCTGGAGACAACAGGGTCGAAGACAAAATACCTATGCTTTTGCAAACTCCACTAAGAACAAACTATTAAACTGGATACGTTTCCCAGTGCAGTGGCTCACACTTGTAATCCCAGCACTATGGCAGGCTGTGGTGGGCAGATCACTTTAAGTCAGGAGTTCAAGACCAGCCTGACCAATAAGGTGAAACCCCATCTCTACTAAAAACACAAAAATTGGCCAGGAGTGGTGGCACACACTTGTAATCCCAGCTACTCAGGAGACTGAGGCAAGAGAATCGCTTGAACCCAGGAGACAGAGGTTGCAGCGAGCCAAGATCATGACACTGCACTCCAGCCTATGTGACAGAACAAAACTCTGTTTCAAAAAAATAAAAATAAAAAAATTAGGCCGGGCGCGGTGGCTCAAGCCTGTAATCCCAGCACTTTGGGAGGCTGAGGCGGGTGGATCACGAGGTCAAGAGATCGAGACCATCCTGGTCAACATGGTGAAACCCCGTCTCTACTAAAGATACAAAAAAATTAGCTGGGCATGGTGGCACGTGCCTGTAATCCCAGCTACTCAGGAGGCTGAGGCAGGAGAATTGCTTGAACCCAGGAGGCGGAGGTTGTGGTGAGCCGGGATTGCGCCATTGCACTCCAGCCTGGGTAACAAGAGTGAAACTCCGTCTCAAAAAAAAATAAAATTAAATTAAAAAATTAGATACATTTGCTATACACTAGCCCATCTCATTTCCAAAACGACATTGACGTGTATTCACTACTTGCTCAGATTATACCAAAGATTTTTAGTTTTCCCCTAGATGAAGACCTTATAGGAGCACACATTTCTTGAGAGTTTGCTTTCCCTGCTCCCCCTCATCCTACAGGAAAGGATTTTCTCCCTCCTCCATTTCAATCCCTCTACCTGTGGCCCATCACAACTTTCTCCCTGCCCTAAGGTGGCTGTCACCTGCTCTTCCTGCCTTGTTTAGCTTTGCTTCCTTTCTCATCACTGGGTCCACATGTATACACATGTGCTCCAAAATTCCTGTTCTCCCAAAAACACTTTAAACTCATCTGCAACCTTGAGATTCTACCCTCACAATCTCTTTCTCTATAGTCCCAAACTGTTCAGCATAATGCTTTCCTGCTCCTGCCTTCTTTGAGGCCGGTAGCCCCTCTGGAGGCCCCTCCCCACACCCCACAGTGGCACTGACTCTGCTGACCTCCCAATTTGTAGTCTTCCCTCCTTTGGCCTCTGGGTCCTCACTTTCCCGGTCCTCCTTCTAGTTCATTGACTGAGGTATTACTCAGTCAACTGCAGTGAGAAAGTGAAAAAGTCCAGAAATAAATAATTCATCAATTTCAAGTTTCGTGCCCTTCTGAGTAGCATGAATCATTCCTTTTCCAACATGTTATGCTGGCACCATCAGGGCCAAAGGAATGCCCCCACTTTTGCCCTCTGAAGGTTCACTGGAAGTCAACTGTCAAAAGGCAGATTAATAGAAGACCTAAAAAATTATTGACATGCACATAAATCACAGTGATTATTCCACGATGCAATGATGTGCAGATGGTTCTATACCCTTCTTCTTAGGGGAAAATGAGATAAGGAAGCATGGATAATTTTAGGGGGATAGTAAATGATTTTTAAGGAATTCAATGGGCTTTAAAACATACAGTGAGGCTGGGCATGGAGGGTTTCACCTGTAATCTCAACACGTTGGGAGGCCAAGGTGGGCAGATCATGTTGAGACCAGCCTGGTCAACATGCTTAAATCTCATCTCTACTAAACATATATATATATATATATATATATATATATATATATATATATATATACATACATACATATACAAAAATTAGCCAGGCATTGTGACACATGCCTGTAATCACAATTGCCCAGGAGGCTGAGGCAGGAGAATCACTTGAACCCAGGAGGCAGAGGTTGCAGTGAGCCAAAATCCTGCCACTGCACTCCAGCCTGGGTGACAAGAATGAACCTCCATTAAAAAAAAAAAAAAAAAAAAAGCATACAGTGGCCTGGGACAAAGCCTATTGGGCCCACAGACCAGACAATGGTTTGTGACAAATCTGTCCAGGTGCCTTGGCAGACTTCAGTCTTTCTTCCTGCAGTATGGAATTCAGTTAATGAAAACTCAGGGAGAGGACCAGAGGTGATTATTTTCTTCTTTAGTAGGTTCAGACTTTAGGCAGAATAAAAGAATCTCAGAGAACTTTGTTCTGTGCTTTGGGAGAGACAGAGGATTAAGACATGGGGGGTGGGGGAGGTCAGAGAGCTCTTGAAGCTGCCTCTTCAGTTCAGCCTGACAAAGCATCATATATCGGGGTAGTAGTTTATGGTCCCCCATATCACTTAGTAGCCGTCTCAATTATCAGATTTAAAAAAAAAAAAAAAAACATAGAGCCATCTATATAGGGTTCAGTACTATCCATGATTTCAAGCAGTCACAGGGGGATCTTGAAATATAGCCCCGAGAATGAGGGGCACTACTCCTTCCTGCTCTCATTTCTCTTCCCACCTTTCAGACTCCATGAACCAAGGTGATTTCCGGGGGCATATTCTAGCAAGGGCCTAAGGCAGGCTGTGGCAACAACTGTGGCCATGCAGGAAAGCAGATTTGATGATTCGTTACACAAATAGTAAATATTTACAGTCTAGACTATGCACCAAACTTTGTTGTAGGTTCAAGGGAAACAGGGCAAATGAGACAGATAAGGTCCCTGCCTGCACAGAGTTCACAGCCCAGCAAGAACACATAATAAGCAAGTAAAAAATCAATTGACAAGCAAATTTCAAGTATTAAAAAAATACTAACAACAAAACAAAATGCAGGCTGGATGTGGTGGCTCACAGCTGTAATCCTAACACTTTGGGAGGCCGAGGCAGGTGGATCACTTGAGGTCTGGAGTTCGAGACCAGCCTAGTCAACATGGTAAAACCCCATCTCTGTTAAAAATACAAAAATTGCCGGGCGCGGTGGCTCAAGCCTGTAATCCCAGCACTTTGGGAGGCTGAGGCAGGTGGATCACGAGGTCAAGAGATTGAGACCATCCTTGGTCAACATGGTGAAACCCCGTCTCTACTAAAAATACAAAAAATTAGCTGGGCATGGTGGCGTGTGCCTGTAATCCCAGCTACTCAGGAGGCTGAGGCAAGAGAATTGCCTGAACCCAGGAGGCGGAGGTTCTGGTGAGCCGAGATCACGCCATTGCACTCCAGCCTGGGTAACAAGAGTGAAACTCCGGAGAGATCCAAGATGGCTGATCACTAGCAGCTCGGGATTGTAGCTCC